TAAAATGGCGTTGCTACCACAGAACACAGACTTTACAACTCCATAACTCCACAGATTTATAAAAAATAATGACTCTTCCCTTCGAGCATATACTATTGGAGGTAGCATGTCATTGCGAGAAGTGTGGCTGAGTGTACGAGAGAGACAGACAGTATGTCAGTACATGCGCGATCTCTCTATCTCTCTCTCTCGCACACTCAGCCACACTCTTCGCAATGGCATGCTACGTTCAGTAGTAGATACTCGAAGACTCTTCCAAGCAAACGTCAGCAGATAAATCCACAGAAACACAAACTAAACGGAAGTTTTAGGAGTACCGAAATTAACCCAAAAAACCGTTTAAATTTTTTTCGGTTCGGGTTCGACACATGGAATAAATTATAACATGACATATGTGTTCAGTTTCGGTTCCGGTCCACAAAAAAATTACGGTTCTGGTCCGGTTTTCTGTCCAAAAACGGTACGGTCCGGGTCCCTGCTAGAAACTAACAGTATTTGACATCACTAGAGCACATACTCTGTGACTACAGTGTACTCGCACTTGCACAATAGACCTTTTTAGTAGTGACATCACATTCGCCAAACAATAATCAACCCCATAGTGCACAGTGTCATGAATTATCCAATATTTTTACTAGACCGATAATGATAACTCGCGCCATTATTCTATGGCTAGAAGTTGGCCTCAATGATTTGGGATCGAGGGGGATTATCCCTCTTTATCCTGCCTCATCTCGTGTAGGCCTGGACAGCCTTCGTAGGTGGGCCCCATCCGTCGTCTACCCCGACCGCAAATGCGGCCGGTGTAGGCGCTTTGTGGGACCTCCTTTTGTCCTGGCTGGGCCCCGCCGGCTAGGGCCCTTTCTTCTGGCGCTCTTCTTGCTTCGCCGGCTCGTCTGTGTAAACCCCGGGGGTAGTGTCATGTTTATGTGTGGTATGGTTGGGTAGGGTAGTGCGGCTATGCAGCCTGGGATGCGCTTTGCTAAGGTGGCCCTTAGGCTAGCGCGGGAGGG